GTGGATGAGTCGAATTGGGATGCACTCACAACGTCGAAGGCGCCTGCAGTGAAGAATTACAGCGGTTCTTAGTGGAGCAGGGGGGCCCTGTGGCGTCAAACCCAGATGGGCGATCCTCACCTGGGCTGTCATAGTGGGGGTGGGGCTCTCTTGCGACGATAACGGCGGGGTGATTTTTCACCGCCTGCCCAATGAGGCAGAAACCTGTAAACTTCCTGCGTCAAAACTTTGCTCTACCCCAGCCAAGTGCTTGCACTTATGAGTCGTTTCTTCCCTCGGGAAACACTCTCTCCACACTTCTGTTGACCTGGGCTATTGTTTCTTGCTATCTTGCTTCTCTTCACCTCCGCACTCGCGCTATATCAACCTCAAAGTCGATTCTCACAATGGTCAAGAAGCCCGTCATCGGCCTCCTTGGAGGTGGCCAGTTGGGCCGAATGTTGTGCGAGGCCGCGGGGCCCCTCGGCATCGATATTGCGATTCTGGACGAGGCCAATTGTCCTGCGAAGCAAGCTAACCAAAACAGCCGGCACGTCACCGGTTCCTTCAAGGACCCGGCCAAGATCAGAGAACTGGCTGCCATGTGTGACGTCCTTACTGTTGAGATCGAGCACGTTAACACTGAGGTTCTCGAGGAGATTGCGACCCGCGGTGTTATCACTGCTCCAGGCACCGTCAAGAAAGTACCCTGTCACCCCCATTGGCAGACTCTACGTCTGATCCAGGACAAGTACTTGCAAAAAGAGCACTTCGCCAAGGGTGGTCTTCCCATTGCCCCTCAGATGGCCATTGAATCCGGCCCTGCTATGCCTGAGAGCCTCACGGCCGCTTACAGGGCATTCCAATTCCCATTCATGCTGAAGGCGAGAAAGGGTTCGTATGACGGCCGTGGTAACTTCAAGGTTAGAGGCCCGGAGGACTACGAGGAGGCTATTCGGACGATGGGCAAGCTCTCACTCTACGCTGAGAAGTGGGTGCCTTTCGAGATGGAGCTCGCCGTCATGGTCGTGCGGACTGAGGATGAGGACGGCGAGTTGAGAAAGGTTCACACTTACCCGGCCGTCGAAACTATCCACGAGGAGAGTATCTGCACCAAGGTGTACTACCCACCCCGCCAAGTCAGTGCGGATGTGTGTGAGAAGGCACGCCAGGTGGCTGGGGATGTTATTAAGACGGTGAAGGGCAGAGGTGTCTTCGCTGTTGAGATGTTCTTGCTCAAGGATGGTCAGTTAGCCGAGACTACAAGACTTGAGGATCAACTAACTTGATGATAGGCACAATCACCGTCAACGAGGTTGCTCCTCGTCCTCACAACTCGGGCCACTGGACTATTGAGGGTGTGCCGTACATGTCGCAGTACAAGGCGCAGCTCCACTCCATCTTGGACATGCTCCCGCGATCTATCAAGTTGCAGCCTCGCGTCTCCGGCGCTCTGATGCTCAACATTCTCGGCGGTGCTCGTGAAGACTCCCACGAAGAGTTGGTCGACCTGACCACATCCTTATACGATGATAACATGGATGTTTTCCTCCACCTCTATGGCAAATCGTCCAAGCCAGGTCGCAAGATTGGACACATCACTGTGACGACTCACTCTGCCAACTCCAGCTTGGAGAGGCTAGCAGCGCCTCTGATCAACGAGGTGAACTACATGCGCGAAGCCCGACTTGATGCTGCCTCAGACCAACTCCGTCTGCAAGAGTCTCCTGCCAAGAAGACTAGCTCCCGCAACGCCGATAAGCCCTTGGTTGTTGTCACCATGGGTTCTGACTCAGACCTCAAGGTCTTGAGGGGTGCCTTCGAGATTCTGGAGCATTTCGACGTCCCCTATGACCTTGACATCACTTCTGCTCACCGTACACCCCACCGTATGGTTGAGCTTGGAAAGACCGCCGCGCAGCGTGGCATAAAGGTCTTGATCGCAGCTGGTAAGTCTACATATGTCCATTGGCCCTTCGGAGACATTGCTAACATAACCAAAGCCGGCGGCGCTGCCCATCTCCCAGGCATGCTGGCATCTGAGACAACGGTACCGGTTATCGGCGTGCCGGTCAAGGCCACCCATCTTGACGGTCACGACAGCTTGTTGAGCATCGTTCAGATGCCCCGCGGCTGCCCCGTAGCAACAGTTGGTATCAACAACTCGACCAATGCTGCCCTCCTTGCAGTCAAGATTCTCGGATCATCTAGCCTCGAGTACCAGCAAAAGATGGCACAGTACATGAGCAACATGTCCCGGGAAGTTGAGCACAAGGCTGCCGAGCTGCAAGAGGTAGGCTGGAAGAAGTACCTCGATAACCAATGAGGGAAAGTGAAGAGATTTTATTAGCATATGTGGAACTTCATTCCACGTTTGGGCAGCATTGATTGATACCAGCAAAGGCGTACATAGGAAAGTTAGAAAATAACAAATAAGGGGCGGTCACTACAAAAACCTAGATGCTTGATTTCCGGGATGACGCTTCACTGCCGTACTGCCACCTTGGCTGTTGTGAGAAGGGGTTGTATTGTCGAACAATTTCCGAGGAGATGCATGAGGACTTGCGGTTGAGACATGGCCCAACGTTGGGGGGAAGACGTGTGTTACCGCTTGAAACAGGGCTAGGGGCAACTGTGAACCTACATCTTGAAGCTTGAGAAGGATACCTGCCAATTCTTCTTGCGTGCAAGTGACTTCTTACTTTGTAGACACTACTATAGTATCTTTAAGGTCTGATGATGATGATTGGCATGACTGGCGGAGCACGAGTTAGATCTCGAGAGGAACGATCAGAAATAGTAGAATGTCTTTCTTCCCACTCGGAGGGTTATGGTTTGAGTCTCAAAATCAATGATTCCATCGATGATCACCGAGTCACCCAAAAACAGACCGTTGGGACCAAACCCACCTCGTGCTACGAACCTTCGCCTTAATTCCCTCTTTTCACTCAACTTTGAGCCACTTACATGTATTTGCCAACAATAGACCTTACTAAAGACGGCCTCGTTTGGTGACTCGCAGTCGATTATCATGCCCCAGCACGCCTGGTACATGCTATACGAGAAGGAGCTGTCTCATTCAAGCGTGGCGATCGCTGACTGTCTGACTTCTATCACGGAAGGAACCTATAAGCACATCAGAGCACTGAATATGTGGCAAGGATCAAAGTGCAAAAGCGAAGCAACTATGACAGACGACAGGAGCCTGCCATGGCTTATGTCTCAGTGCGACGTGTGTGGTCCCTCCCCGCGTTCCTACCAACATGTCCTTGACTTGGACAACGTAGGGGAAGGCAAATGGTCAAGTCGGACAGGGAGGAAGGATCGATAGACTCTCTGGGCACCACTCAAAATCGAAGTAAGAAGGAATCGGCGGCATGCTCGATGCTATTCATAGCTTTTGCACGTTGTCAGGCTTGGTGCCTGCTTTTGGATCCCGGGATGAACATCCCTCGCCAAATACGAGATGGCATCCCTTCAAACATCTGTCTAAGTTTATCACCAGACTGATGTCATGTTTTTTTTACTACCAAGCGGTGAGCGAAATCTTTCACAGCATGTCACAGCAAGCTGCCAGAACACACCTGCGGTGACATTCCTCCCAACGGTGAAAGGGGGTTGTGGCCTCTCAAACCATGTTTGTTGGTTCCACACCCTTGGAAGCATCACACACACTTGACAGCTTGGGTATTACGTGGGTATTCAAGGTGAACTGGTTGCGCATTCTAGTGAATGACTTCGGAAAATGTCCTGGCCGAGCTAATGCCTGCTCTAATACTACCCGTATAGGACCCTGCTCGCTCGCCACAAGGCGCATCTCTCAACAGACGGACCGACGCACCGCCCTGATCTTTTTGATCCGAAGGACCGGATGCGACTTGAGAAGTGATTTAGAGATCATCGGTCCAAATCTATCCGCGGAGACCGTTCGCTGACAAGGTGGTCCAGATCGACGCCCTCCTGAGACAAGCGCCTTGGCAGGAATATGAGAATCCGGGGCCTCGAGGGGTACTGCCTTGACGTCGGCTCGCTCCGGTGACTTCTTTTGATTATGAGGCACTAGAGAGCTATTGAGAGTTTCTGCAGGTTGATCTAGACGACATCGAGAACATCGCCGCTATTTCTATGTGTAAATCTACTCATGAGGGTCCAGGCTTTTGTGTTGTGAGAGAAGACCTCATTCTTCTCCTAGAACATGATCGATAAGAATGTGTATCACAGCCCACAGAAAACCGTTTTCTATCCTATTCCGTCACACGCAAATCTCTCTCAAGCTGAAGGGTATCACGAACAAAGTTTGTGTGTCTGCATGACCCTCTAGGCCCCCGCAGCAATCCTGTCCATTCATCCCTTTGATCTTCGGGAGCGAAAACCTGCTAACCTTCTTGCGGCACTGTGAATGGAATTTGACCTGTTCGAAAACAGCCCGAAGAGTAAGACATCGACTTCACCGTCGATCCTAGATCATCGAAGAGCCGTCCACTACGGACTTCACCTTCTGGCTTGATCCTGCGGCGCGCACTACTTCGCCAACTCTGAACCGGATGCGCTCATCATCCCATTCATCCCAGCCCTGGGATGATCTGCACTCGGCTCTAGCATATCTCTTCCTCTCTTGGCATTCAAACCAGAAAGGCCGAGGTGACCATCAATTCGAGGCTATCGTGGAATGAACTACCAAGCCGGGGCTGCGTCTGCTGAGGCTGGGCAGGGCGAACCAAGCTCGCCTGCGGCCGAGAGAGTCACAAACCTACATGTGCTAGTGCCCGTCTTCCCGTCTTGGTAGCTACCCTTATGACGGAGATCGGAGAGCTCGCCTACCCGTACAACCTCGAGATAAACCTGGGAACATATATAGTAACCTTGATGTCTAGCTTTGTCGGAGGCTTTGCTACTGTGCAACTGACATCACCTGCTTGACAACTGCCCCTCTGTATCTCAAGCTTCACCACACAGCAAATACAGAGATTTCGATCATCTTCATCCATCACCAAAGGCCACCACGCAAACAAATAGTCAAAATGCTCTCAAACAACATCCTCACAATACTAGCCATCGTCGGCCTCTCAGCCGCCCAGATCCAAGTCCCGCCCTCCAACGCCGCCGACTGCCCGCGAACCATGTGTCTCGACGGCATCAACCCAGAATGCGGAATTCGATGGGGCGGCTGTTACGACATGTGCCAGCCGCAAATGAAGCCCACCATGCCACCTTGCAAATCCACGCTGAGCAAGTCGACAATCTCGAGAACGTCCAAGCCCTCCTTCACAAGGCCCACCCGGCCCAGCCTGCCGCCCACGCGTAACCCAACAATCACTCGGGCACCGCCCGCTTTAACTCCTTTGCCCACGACGTTGATCAGCAACTGCAGCACGCGTACCGTGTGTGTTGATTACATCAACGAGTGCGGACAGTGGTATGGCGGGTAAGTTTTGCTGCTTCGCTTCTACTGCCTCACAGATTAGTATAGCGTATCGTGTTTGCTAACTTATCGTTAAAATATAGATGTCACGCCGATTGCAAGCCCTGGCCGTCGTACTCCAAGCCTCTGTGCACACCCACGTCCAGCTTGACTGTTGACCCATCGACATTACCTACCGATTACTGAAGACGCTCGCCGACGCTGTAAAGTTCATGAATGGGATGGAAGAACTAGAAAGCAATCGAGACGACGTTTCATGATCTTGTATAATGAATATATAATGAATACATGGTTCCTTTCACAGTACATAGTGGCTACCGGGTCTCAATAAGGATACTTCAGTTTCTTATACGATGATGCTGTCGTTGTAGTCATGACTTCTACCATATTCCAGAGCTTATACTATAGTTTCTCTGTGCCTCGCAATTAGTTGATAACTCAGTACTGTCCGTCGAAGCGCCAAGGAGAACGAGAATAGCCAATCCGAGTGAGTCTTTGAACAAAATGAATTTCTCCTCCTACTTTACACGTTTTTAACTCCAGAGCCAAAGCCCAAAAGCCTGCGGTGTATGCACCAGCCCTAATAGCCTGATTCCAAAGGGTCCAGGTAGCGATATCCCCCACGCGGCTCACCCACGATCATTAACTAAATTGTTGTCGTGGTATTACGATTGCCTTTGATATTGCCTTCCGCCACTCTCTGACCCTCCTCTCGTCTTCGTCTTCCCTTCTCCTCACGTAACCGAATTTCCTACCAACACCCGACACCGGTTCTAATCATAACAGGTTTAGTACACACGCTTGAAGGGAGGAACAGCCTTGCACTCGTTCTCGTCCAGAGTGTTGGCAATGACGCCACGGTAGCCGAGGTCGACCTTGCCGTGGGGGTTCTTTTGGAAGGAGAGGGTGTGCTTCATCCAGTTGACGTCGTCACGGTCGGGGAAGTCCTCGCGGGCGTGGGCACCACGAGACTCCTTGCGAGCGGCGGCGGAAGTGGCGGTTTGGGAACTATTTCTCGTTAGTTAACGTCTCCGTGGAGAAAGATTGTTCAGTGGAACTTACGCGCAGGTCAACAGGTTGCGGAGCTCAAGGGTCTCAACCAAGTCAGAGTTCCAGATCATGCTCTTGTCCTTGATGGAAACATCGGGGAACTGAGCGTCAATCTCGGTCATCTTGCGGACACCCTCATCCAGAGACTCCTGTGTTCTGAAAACGCTGACCTCAGTCTGCATAGCCTTCTGCATAGACAGACGAACGTCGGAGGTGGTTCTGCTACCCTCGCGCGTGCGAACGTCATCCAGAGTCTCAATGGCCTCAGCACCAGCATCAGCAGCCAGAGGCTTGTGCTTGGTACCAGGAGTGAACTTATCACGGATGGTGTGGGAAACGGCACGGCCGAAGACGACCAAGTCGAGGAGAGAGTTGGCACCCAGACGGTTGGCACCGTGGACGGAGACACAGGCGGCCTCACCGCAGGCGAACAGACCAGGAACGACCTTGTCGTTGCCAGACTCGTCAACAGTGATGACCTCACCGGTGTACTTGGTAGGAATACCACCCATGTTGTAGTGGACAGTGGGCAGAACGGGAATAGGCTGGGTGCGAACGTCGACACCAGCGAAAATGCCGGCAGTCTCGGAGATACCGGGCAGACGCTCGTGAAGAACCTCGGCGGGCAGATGGCTGAGCTGCAAGAAAATGTGATCCTTCTCCTCGCCAACACCACGTCCCTCGCGAATCTCCATGGTCATGGAACGGGAGACGACGTCACGGGACGCAAGATCCTTGGCGGTGGGGGCGTAACGCTCCATGAAGCGCTCACCCTCGGAGTTCAGAAGGTAACCACCCTCACCACGAGCTCCCTCCGTAATCAAGCAGCCAGCGCCGTAGATGCCAGTGGGGTGGAACTGAACGAACTCCAGATCCTGGTTAGGCAGACCAGCACGAGCAACCATGGCCATACCGTCACCGGTGCAGGTGTGGGCAGATGTGCAAGAGAAGTAGGCACGTCCGTATCCGCCAGTGGCCAAGACAGTGTGGTTAGCGAGGAAACGGTGCAGAGTGCCGTCCTCCTGGTTGTAGGCGACAACACCACGGCACTCGCCATCCTGCATAATCAGGTCGAGAGCGAAGAATTCGATAAAGTAGTTGGTGTTGTGACGGAGAGACTGTCCGTAAAGGGTGTGGAGAAGAGCATGGCCGGTACGATCCTCAGCGGCGCAGCATCTGTAAGCCTGTCCACCCTTACCAAACTTCTGGGACTGACCACCGAAAGCGCGCTGGTAACTGTGAAGCGAGAGATGTCAGCGTCTGTCTGGAACAAAGGTGTTTCTGGTGGGCCTTCTTTTTTCAACTCACATCTTGCCATCCTCGGTTCTTGAGAAGGGACATCCGTAATTCTCAAGCTCGACGATGGAGGCGGGCGCCTCACGGGTCATGTAATGAATAGCATCCTGGTCACCGAGCCAATCTGAACCCTTGACTGTATCGTACATGTGCCATCTCCAGTCGTCCTCGTGCATGTTTCCGAGGGCGGCGTTGATGCCACCCTGAGCGGCGACGGTGTGACTTCTGGTAGGGAAAAGCTTTGAGATACAGGCAGTGTTGAAGCCAGCCTCTGCGAGACCAAAGGCGGCACGGAGACCAGCACCACCGGCGCCGACAACGATGGCATCGTACTCATGGTCGACGACGGGGTACTTGCTGGAAAGGTAAGGCGAAGCCTCCTTTGCGCGAAGGTGCTGGTTCGCGTAAATCCGCGCGGCGGATCTAGTCGTGGAGAATGCGCGCGCCTGCGAGAACTGAGATTGCCAGGTATTAGTTCTACTGTTCAAGCCGAGGCCGTATCTGAATTCAGGGCCGGATCAAAGGAGCGACGTACAGCAGGCTTGGCAGCAAATCTCCTCAACGCCATTGATGAGGCCATGATTGATGTGTACACTATCTTGCAGTGTCAGTATGCGTCTCGGTCGTGATTGTGTGTATATATGCTGTCTCGAGTCGCGGGAGGCGAAGGGGGCGAGGTGGTGATGGCCGAATATGTTGGGTTGAAACCCACTCGTGTGTAACCGGGTAGATGGATAGATCGGTACTGACCGTTATCGAAAGACGGAAGAGAGAGAGGAGAGGTCAAGCCTGAAATTGCAGAGTTAGCAAATTGGTGCCAGAGGTACCTGGAACTTGGGATACTCACCGTCGAATTGAATTGGTCTCCAAAACGAGGTGCTGGCTCTAGGTGATGGATAGACCTCCAACCAGTGTATGGAGAAAAGTACGGAATAAACCACGGCAAACCTCGCACACGTCTTCTGCAATAAGTCAGCTCGGCACCTCGGGTAATCACACTGTCGGTGATTGGTTGGAATAGCTATGGCTAGTGGATTTACGCCACAATCACAGTCAAGCCACAGTTGGTTTCCGGGGCAGAGTTCACATGCAAAGTCCCGTCAAATTCCGAGATCGATTCCGGGGTATCATCAGTGCGACCGGATGAAAGCTTAGCCTTCGTTGATCAGCCGCCCGAAACTCGAGGTTCTATTCTTAACAGACAGTTAACGACCAAAGGTCAATGTCTATTGCAGCGGTCAATTGTTATCTCTATATTTCTGGCATTTCTCTTCCACTGACAGCTTGATAACTTGTCAGTTTGCAAGTTAAATTGTTTACACTACGGGTGCTCTTTGCCCGTTCCTGGGCGGCATTGCCGAGGTGCGGGTGGAACTGGGTCTCTTTGTCGATGGGGAGGAGAAAGTCCATGACTTCACGACGAGAATCGCCCATCGTCAGCAGTTCTACTTTGCCACACTTTCAAACAGTGCAGAGCCTCGGTAGACAACCACAGTTTCAACTAAAAGGAGAACGTGACTCTATACCGACAATTGAAACGCCAGCCAATTAGACTTTTTATGTCTTCAACACAGTAATGCGACTTGGTCAGGCGCAAAGATCTGCGCTGTTACTACGGGACCAATTGACCCACAATAGCACTTGTGCTACGGAAGATAAGTGTTGAAAATAGTAATTTAGGGTTACTCTAGGTATCTGGTATGGTGAAGCCACCCCGTTGCAAACAATTCGTCCGTGGCGACTCACTGGTATCGCGCCCTCTGCGCCCCCTTCGATCGGCTCGTTCATAAACGTGCCGTAACAATCTCGGGCCTAGGCTCTGTCTCCCATCTCGCCGCTCAGGCACTTTCAGACACAGGGCCAAACTCCTATGAGTTACTGCGGGCTAACGAAAACAAAAGAAAGCCTGAATTCAAAGTCCCCTTTTAGTGTGTCCAAGGAGTTCAAACTCCAGCCATGCTCATAAAGTACACACTACCTAGTATACAGCCAATATCGCGCCGCCCAAGATTATGACTCCAAACGTAGACCCCACAGCTTCTCTAGCTTCTTAAAAAGCCATCTGCTTCTTGATCTCGGCAATAGCCTTGCCGGGGTTCAGGCCCTTGGGGCAGGCACGTGTGCAGTTGAGAATCGTGTGGCAACGGTACAAGCTCATGGAGTTGTCGAGGGCAGCCTTGCGCTCGGCCTTCTTCTGATCGCGAGAGTCGGCAAGCCAGCGGTAGGACTGGAGGAGGATGGCGGGTCCCAGGTACTCCTCAGAGTTCCACCAGTAGGACGGGCACGAGGTTGAGCAGCAGGCGCAAAGAATGCACTCGTACAGACCGCTCAACTTCTTTCGGTCGGCGACGCTCTGGCGATATTCCTTGCCCTATGGTGGAAATTAGCTGGGATCGCGCGAGATGCTGCAGTCTGAATCACGTACATCAGGAGCAGGAGTGTCTCTCTGGAGGTAGGGCTTGATTGAGCGGTATTGCTTGTAGAACTGGGTCAAGTCGGGCACTAAGTCCTTGACGACGTAGGTGTGAGGCAAAGGGTAGACCTTAACGTCTGAAGCGTTCTCTGAAGGAATGCGGCCTTTCGTACTTGTTAGCATTGAATCGCCATGAGTTCTTTCACCAGCTTGCGAAGCCAGGTGGCTATAAGGGTGCTTCAGGAGTCCACGTACAAAGGCAAGCAAGCGTGTTCTGGCCGTTAATGTTCATGGCGCAGCTACCGCAAATGCCCTCTCTGCAGCTTCTGCGGAAGGTAAGGGTAGGGTCCAGCTCGTTCTTGATCCGAATCAATGCATCCAGCATCATGGGTCCGGTCTTGTTCAGGTCCAGCGTGTACTCTTGCAT